AATGTACAAATATGAAAAATTACTTCCTACATCACACTCCAAATAAATAAATAATAAGTATCAAAACAATTCAACTAGCTCTACAACTGCAACAAGGATATATCCAAATCTTGCATATTTTCTTAAGATACAAAACAATCAGTTTAAAGATTATAATCACATGCTGCAAAGCATTGACCTCATCAATGCCTTGTACAGAAGTGTAAGAGATCGCATTTAAACTTATCTACACGTTGCCTACCCAAACTAAAAAATACAAAAAAAAAACTACTAGTACCTACCTACATACAATAGCTTATTTACAAAACAGGTATGCCATATTGCATCTAGATTAAGAACAGTGAATTAAACTGCTCTTTTAAAAACAATTGAAGGCGATGCATTTCCTGACACTGGAATGACATGAAATAAGGACATTTACAACACAATCTACTGTTGTTACATACCAAACATGTCCTTTGCTAGCTCTAAATCTCCCTCTTCTGCAAGTTTCTGTCGTCTCAACTTGTCTGCTGCGAGCTCTTCTGGTGTCATTGCCTTCTGGGCCTGGAGGGTCAAAAATTCAAGATCAATCAAATATGTGGAGAAGTGACAAGTGTCAATGTTGAAAATCTGTAAATTCAACATGTCAATGTTGAAACATGCCTTATGTAATTTAATCATTTGATATGTTGCATCTTTTGTTTTAATCTCCCAAGCACAAAAGACTTTTTCTGACTTTTCAAGACAATCATGAATAATTCTCCCTGAACTCCCTGGTCTACATTACAGCCTTTTGGCTGGTGAGAGCCTGCTTTTTAAATTTTTTTTTTAATTTTTTTATGAAGACAACTCCTTTCAATCAAAGGAAATGAATTAAGTCATGGTGGTTTGATTTCACAACATTGTTCATTACTCAAGACATACTTACAGCTTCTTCTCTGGCTTTTCTTTCTTCCATTTCTCTCTTCTTTTTCTCTTCTTTCTCTCTTATGATTTCCTGCATGGTCCTTTTCTTCTTCTTTTGAACAGCTGTGCCTGTGGCTAAAACAAAATATTTTACATGATGAGTTCGAAGACCACAATTTCTTTTCTTATTCTAAATCTACACAAATTGGTAACAGTAAGATTATATACTGAACTAATGAGGTTGCTGTAAGTTCATTTTTTGCAGTGACTTAATTTCCTGATTTTCAAGTTTGCAGTTACAACAATTGCATGGTACAGCTGTAATAAAAAGACACACTCTCACTGTCATGATTTCGCAGTATGAGGTACATGTACAAGTATAAACCATGAAACAACTGCAAACGTTTCAAGACTCACAGTAAATAGGACCTTTTTGATTATACTAAAAACTGTGTAACAAACCTTTTTCAGCTTGGTCTTTCTTTTCATCACTTTCATCTTCATCGTCCCAGTTGTCCTGTGTTCAATACATCACAGTATAAATACATCACAGTATAAATACATGTAGTTACAACTGCATTTTTTATGCTGAATAATGGAGATGTTGCAGCATGCAGCACATGACTTTGATTAATTTTGATTACCGTACTCAAATCATAAAATAAAAGAATACCTTCTACTATACTCATAGAGCTGAAACTGATGCATCGACGACTACAAATCGTCAAACATTGGAAAGTTTTCGGGACGATGACTCATAACATCAAAGAAATCAGCACACGTATCAACTCATCCGGCATAAAACGAAAACTAACGTAACTTATCGTTAAAATATAAAATTCTCCATTTCCATATGTTGGCTAATTTCTATGGTCTGGGATGTTAGATCATTACAATACTTGCGACACCTTGTAACATACATGGCCAGAAACTTGCTGGGGTCGAGCACACGTCGTTTGTGTGCTATATGTACTAGTAAGTATGTTAAGCCGGTGCAGTACAGCAGGCCCACATGTGCGCACTTGGCGCCATACCTTCACATCGTCGTCCTCGTCTTCACCCTCCCATTTATCCGTCCCCGCCGAGGCAACGGGGATGGCAGGTTCGAAGTCTTCTGAGTCTGCAGATGAAACAGTTCTTCGTTAACGTTCTGACAAAGTTATGAGCAGAAATTCTCCGCAATTTCACAAAAATAGAGCGAATACTTCAGGAACCGAAACTCAGACTTACCCCAGTCCGCCATGATGAAATCTGAATGCAGCACGATGACTGAAGCATGGTGGGAAATTTTGGATCATTCCATAGTAGACATGGGGAGATTGTTTTGATTGCTGGTCTAAATCACTTTCTGTTTGAAGTAATTAGTTGCATTAAATACTATGTTCCTCAATCTATTTCCATTTTTGGGAATCAAAATCTTTAAACTAGCATTAATACCCTATTGTGTAATGTTACACCCCTATATACTTTCACAAGTCCATTGTTCCAACATGGCAGCTTCACTTGACAAACTGTTCTGCAGAGAGGTTGAATTGGAGAATGAAAGTGTCCTTAAAGTTTACCAATGTGAAACAGGAGATGTAGGCTGTGTCGTTTGGGATGCAGCAATCGTCCTGGCAAAGTTTCTCGAGATTGCTACCCGAATTTCAGCCAGTGATAGCCAACAACCAGGGATTGCAAAGTTTTGCAATGTCACACTTCACAACAAGACTGTGGTTGAGCTGGGAGCAGGAACTGGAATTGTAGGAATCATGGCTGGAATATTAGGTGCAGATGCATGTATAACTGACCTACAGGAATTCGTCCCCCTCATGGATCTCAACATCAAGGAAAATGCAGATAGAATCCAAGGTTCAGTCAAGGCCTGCACATTGAAGTGGGGAGAAGACATCACACCCTTTCTTCCACATCCAGACTACATCATATTCTCAGACTGCATTTACTATGAGGAGTCGCTGGAGCCTCTTCTAGAGACCGTTTCAGCTTTGGCTGGAAACCAAACTGTAGTACTGTGGTCGTATGAAGAACGCACAACAGGAAACAAGCCAGAGCTGCAACAGAGGTTCTTTGAAGCAATCACAAAAGACTTTAGTGTTGAGGAAGTACCACAAGACTGTCTTCATCCTGTGTACCAAAGTGAAGATATACATGTGTTATGCATGGAAAGGAAAAGTTGAAACAATTGAAGGATCAAAAATGTCTGAAGACACACCACAATATTAAATGTATGATGTATTAAAGGGTAGACCATTGAACTTCAAATGGTATACTGAATAGGTTCAGTTAAGTTGAACCGTGGTACTCAGGATACTGCAATGTATTGGAAAATGTGTAATCTTCACCATGCAATGTTGTGTTAGCTTACAGTGATATTACTGTAACGCTGCAGTTAGCAATGCTATAAGTGCTCCCAGCACTCACAGTCAGAGCCACATACATGTAATTTACATTTTGGCTTACTTAGTATATGGTGATGTCTGTGCCATATGCATCCAGCAATATACAAATAAGCAGATCTCTGGAGATTCTAGCTGTTATACTTATAACTCATGCCTTAGTCTAGTTTGTGTCAAATGCTTGTACTAACATTACAAATAAACATTAAATGCAAACCATTTTTTCTTGGACTTTTTTTATCAACCTACCGGTTGCTGTAACAGAAAAATATATTGACCATCATGATATGCTGATTGCAGATTACTAGTACTTGGAAATTTTCATAACCATATAATGGCAGTGCTTGCTACTTTAGGTAGGCACTGCAGTGCAGCCGCAAGGTGGCGTTATTGCACCAGCATCATGGAGGAGGTAGCGTCGTCCGAAACGTTTTCTCCGCAGATCCACGTGCAGGGTTTTGTTGATGAAGCCATTAAGACTTTAGATGTGAGTGACTTGTACAGCAAAAGAGAAATCTTGAAGTCCGTCACTTATGCAGAGGCCATGAATGTATCCATAGAGACTGTAGATGAGCTGAAGTCGGTTTGTAGGTAAGTACCTAGTACTGAAGGGGGAGGGGGGCACCTAAGACCAGGTTTTGTTTTTATAGAACTTTTACGTGATTAAGAATAAAGCCAAGCAGTGTACATGTGTGTTGCTGGGAAATCTCTTGGGGTGTGATACTATAAATGTTGAGAAACTGTTGAAGTTTTCCTGGGACAACCAGAAATATTTTCTTTTTTACTGCTCAAATTATCTAAATAAGTATATTTATATTCACATGTAACGTCATGTCTTTTAATTATGAACAAATTATTAACGTGATATCAATCCTGTTAATTATACTCATGCTCAATAATTTGCTTGGTGGCAGTTTAATTGTTATTGTGAACAAATTTGAATGTATCTTAGCTAGGGGGCTGGAAGCAAATTAGTCATGTTTATCCTCTCAAGAGTCTCACTAATTTTTTTTTCAACTTACAGCACACAGACACTGAAGGTAAGATTTATTCAATGCTGGTCACTTTGTACTAATCTTCATTCAGTATATGATACATTCACATCCGACTTGCATAATTTAATTGTCCTATTTTCGCTTAGAATTATTTCTGTTACATACATATCTTTTCAATGTTAATGATACATTATCTTTCATTCCATTATACCGGTAATTTGCATTTGTGCACTTGTTGCAACATTGCTACTTTTACTTGTACATGTAATATGTTTTCCTGGCTGAAAGTACTCGTACCTTTGCTGCAGTGCTCCCTAGAGGACATTGACAGAGATGCAGCAGAGGTGCCAACAGGAACAGAGTTGGTCACTTTGGGGTAAGGCAAGAAGATGTAACTTGATATACATGTACCAAATGATAATTCACCAAAGTTGTGATGCAATGAATGGCATTCCTGCAACCCCCAAGTGTTAAATTTCTTCAAGGTGTAGAAACATCTTCTCATTTATGCCTTAATTCATTAACAAGGAACGACAGACATCAAAATCAACCTTCAAAACAAAGTTTTGAAGATTCAGTTATAATTGTGCAAGGCTTTATTAATTAGAATTAAGAGTAGCAATTTTTAGTACAGGAAATGAGCTTTTTCATGAAATAAGTTTCCACAGATCTTTCTCATGTGCCAAAATACCTTACAGCTGCATTATGTAGTTTTTTGCACAAAAAATTCAAATATTCTGAATCTAACAAATCTTGGTCTTATCATCATTTACTATCACTTTTCAACACATTTGCGTCATTATATTACGTTTCTGGCGTATTTTATTAGCGCAAAAACAGTCCGCTCGATGCGCGCTCGGATCCCGGTGGCACCGAGTTGATGCCACCGCTGGAACCAAAACAAACAACGGTTTTCGGTCGGGAATCTTCGGTGAGTTCCAGCTGCATGACGTCATGACTAGCTCGCCCTCTGAAACAAAATGGCGGGAATGGAGGGCGGTCGGGATCGGGTGGACTGTGGAGGTAGAAGAGGTTTGCTGACCAGTTCCGCCAGGAAAAGGAAGGAGAAGGACAAGTTCTGGGTCGTCCCTCTATCTCCACAAAGTAATCGAAGGAATAACGCGATCAAAACAAACCCGGGAACCAAAGGCGAAAACCGGCTGTCAGAATCTAATGTCCCGCGCCCGGGTGAAAGGTCACGTTAGACCACGTGACAAATCTCCGGGCCGGCTCGGGCAGACTCGGACATGTTCGGAAGTCAACAAACATGGCGGACACCCAGGCACGCGCGTGCAATTTCTCAGTTTTCTAACCGCTCGCATCGCAAAAATATCGTCTCGCCTCCATTAACTGAATGGTGCATTGTAACACTGTAGGGTTTATTCAACTAGCAATGTAAAAAAATGGCCAAAAAATCGACTTTTTGTTTTAAGATTAGATGGCAAAAAAACTACATAATGCAGCTTTAAGAACTGCAGAAAGGTTGCTATACAAAATGTACTACATTCCTAAGAGTTTTAATGATACAGTCTGTAGGTACAATAATCTTTATGACTTTTTCTCAACAGGTTAAGAAAGAGATACCTGGACTCAAAACCCAACATCAACAAGAACTGCAAGTTCACAGTGTTGTCCTGGAACCAGGTTAGTTAGTTAACTAGTCAGTTGACTTTTCCATGGCCCCTCGTTTGGTGATTGAAATAAATGTCCATGGCCCTCCCCCAGCAGATACATAATGCACAGTCCCCTAATGTGTTTCCTCCTGTTGTCCAATAGGAGCATGCCTATCACAATGTGAAGCCGCCCCCGGAGAGAGAGGTCAAACCACAGTGTGCCGTCCTGCAGGTGGCCGTGTTCCACCCGACTAAGAGGACCATGCGCAGGCGGCCTGGGGTGAGCTGTACCTCACACACACACCTCACTTTTTTCCCTTGTAACTTCAATAACATGTGTATTTCTGATCACTTCTAATTCCATAGAGATTGAAACACCTGTACAGTAACATGCTCCACTGTGGTACCTTGGCATCCTTTGTTCAGAAACTAAAACATCCTTTTCTGCAAGAAGGTTCTGTCCTCTTACTTTTTGTTGACAGAATATTAGCAGAATATATAAAATGAAGCAAGGATAGCAAGACCAGTTCCATGTTCTTACAGTGGTCATTTTATATTATATCAACAGTCCAATATGATGGACCTGTAGATGTTTGCGGCTGTAGAACTCTAAATTCACATACATTGTGATTGTCTTTCATACTAATGCGTGTAATTCTTTGCCATGATGTAATGTTACTTACACAATATATTTTCCAAGCTTTCTATAAGCACAATTGTTTTACATGGTGAACCTACATTGTGTTTCAGTCAAGAATGAGGGTTGCTCAGGAGTACAGAGTTCTAGGTTATCAGGTATGGAATACTTTATCTTTTTGGCCTTTCCAACTCAATTTCTTGGTTTTCAGCATTTTGCAGGAAAATAATGGAGTAATGAGGTGACTTTGCTGCTATTGACTTTTACAGAAACTAACTGATCTGCGAGATGCCATCACCTGTATAGCAGACCATGCCATTGCAGGGGAATACAGTGAGCGTCCCTGCAATGTTCCAGACATCAGGGCTAAGGTTTGATTCTCATTTGCATGAATTACATCTAATTCTATGAAACTCTAATTAAGTTACCTCGATGCTCCACACCTCTTTCAAAGTTTCCAATAAAAAAAAACACCTTGCTGTTCCAAAATGAGCTGCTAGGGTGCTCAAACCTATACCCCTTCTTTGTGACCTAAAAAGCTATTTTCCACCCAATGATGTGTAATGGGCTCTTCTACTCAATGGATGTTAATTGTTATGACTTACACTGATCACTTTAACTTTTAACTTCATTTCTGCTCACAGGATATCTACAAGTCAGCCTACTTCTTCATAGAGAATGTCTTCTACAATGACCTGAGATTTGAAGACAGCAGGGACCTTAGTAGGTATGTTTGTGTGAATTCTCACCACAATATGTACAGTACTGATATATACTCCATAGCACCACAGTACTGAAACACCTGTGCACGTGGGTACAACAAGGTTATTGGATTGAAATGCTGACAGCAGTGGTGGCCTTGTTGGTAGTGTTGACTCAGAATCTTTTGGATACCAAAAAAGTAAAGAATATCTTGTTTTCCCATATAGGGAAGTTCGTGAATGGAAGCAGAACAAGCATGAGGGAAAGGGATCTTATACAACTAAAAACATGGAAGATGTCAAGTTCAACGACCTCCACATCAGACTGGGTTACCCTTATCTGTACTGTCACCAGGGGAACTGTGAACACCTCATCATATTCAAGGACCTCAGGTGAGGAGGGGTGGGAAACATCTGGTGTTTGTAGAATGTACAGTCCTGCAATAGAGCAGACAGGATGTAGAGCAGACAGTACTTTCAGAAAAGGTACTGTATACAGTAACAAACATGTACATTTCAGAAATATTCTGTATTTAGATCCAGATCTGCCATGTAAGCACTTCTTCTTCAGCTAAGGATTTCTTCACAACACATTGGTGTAGATAAAAGTTACATCAGACAAAATTTTCAGGCCAGGCATAAGTCTGGACTCCACATCCTTGTTGGAGGTACAAAGTAGTCTCATTATTGTTCCAGGATGTTCCATACAGATGACTGTAGAGATGAGGGCCTGTATCCCCTGATGGTGGACAGGTACCGCTTCAGGAGACAGATGTGTCGAGTCTGCTCCACCTTCACAGCCAAGTACGTACCTGCTCTGTTTAAACAATTGCCTGAACAAACCCATACAAACCTTGCTCATAGAATAAGGATCAAATTGTTACATAGTTATTATGCTACATTTACATGTAAACCAGTTGTGAAGTTTTGTCGAAATGTATCTGATCTTGGTCTCATATACATATACATATGTGCTTTTGTTTGTTCTTGTTCCTCAGGTGGGTGACCTATGATGATCAGCTGGCAGAGGAGAGCCCCTGCTTTTTCTGTGATCTTTGCTTCAAAGCCCTACATTACAGCAAGGACCTAACCAAACTGGCAGAGTTTGAAGCATATCCATATGTGGACATGGGAATATTCAATCTAGCTACAGCTTAGAAAAAGCATGTCTTTACTGTTTCAGTAACAGTATAGTGCATCTGTATTTCAGTGGCTGTTTTCTCATTGTGAATTGCCTACCAGTGTTAACTCAGAAGTTGAGGGACCCATGTCCCATTAGGATTACCTGTTCCTGAATTTTTTCTTTTTCGGTGTACCTACAATACCTACAATACAAGTATTTTATGCTTCCTTCCCTGGAAGTGGTCTTAGTGGGATACTTTTAATTCATACAGATCTGGTATGCTTCTTCCTTTTATTATCAGAGTAACAGTTACTTATACATGAATCTATGTTGTGGAAATAAAAACTCAAGACAAGAATTGAATCAAGCACTTTACTAATGCAAAAGCCATGCAACACCTTAGCAAAAGAAAGATACTCTTACTACTTTAATGTGTGATAAATTCATCTCAATAATACTGATGGTAGTTTGCCCATTCCACACTGATTATGCATCACATGAAATGGCAACTTTAATCAGCTTCATGTTCGTTGGCACCTACATGGGAGAGGAAGACCATTCACTGATATGGCATTGATTCAGCAGAGCATCATCTACTTGACACCTGATGAAACAATCTCCAAGCAGATATTGGGATGAAACAAAGTTTTCTGATGACTGGTCTTCTCTGACAGGCATGGGTCACCACAATTTTTACCCAAACATCTGCTTGGAGATTAAAGTTTCAATAAATAGTTTGTCAGAAGCTTGGATATTTATAATATTATCAACCATCACTATACAGGTTCATGCAACAGATGTGCTTCACCTTTCTGCTTACTTGGTCCCTTGTGTGACATGTGAGGGCAGTCTCAGGGTCACAGCATTTTTAGTAGGGCCTCCTGGGGACCTCTTCAGTCCCAGTTCATCCCAGTGGTCATCCTCTATATCATAACACTGGGTAAACTTCTTACACACAAAGTAGATACAGTCATTACACACTGTAGCAAACTTGTTCAGGTACTCCAGCTTATTGGTCGGCCGAATGTGAAACCACTGCCCTGAAGAGACGACGAAACAGTCCACCTCGCTGCGGTACCCACCCATGACGTATATGACCCCGCGAGCAGACACCAT